GTTTTTCTATGTGTCGGACAATTTTATTCTTAACTATTGTTTCGACTAGTTTGCCCGGTACAGACGTTAGACTTACCGGTCTGTAATTGCCGGGATCACCTCTAGAGCCCTTTTAAAATATTGGTGTTACATTAGCTAATTTCCAGTCATTGGGTACAGAAGCCGATTTAAAGGACAGGTTACAAACCTTAATTAACAGTTCCGCAACTTCACATTTGAGTTCTTTCAGAACTCTTGGGTGAATGCCATCTGGTCCCGGTGATTTGTTAATGTTAAGTTTATCAATTAATTCCAAAACCTCCTCTCGTGACACTTCAATCCGTGACAGTTCCTCAGATTTGTCACCTACAAAAGCCAGCTCAGGTTTGGGAATCTCCCTAACATCCTCAGCCATGAAGACTGAAGCAAAGAATTTGTTTAGTTTCTCCGCGATGACTTTATCGTCTTTAAGCGCTCCTTTTGTATCTCGATCATCAAGGGGCCCCACTGGTTGTTTAGCAGGCTTCCTGCTTCTGAGGTACTTAAAAAAACATTTTGTTATTACCTTTGGAGTTTTGGGCTAGCCGTTCTTCAAACTCCTCTTTGGCTTTTCTTATTACATTCTTGCACTTAATTTGGCAGTGTTTATGCTCCTTTCTATTTGCCTCACTAGGATTTGACTTCCACTTTTTAAAGGAAGTCTTTTTATCTCTCACTGCTTCTTTTACATGGTTGTTAAGCCACGCTGGCTCGTTTTTAGTTCTTTTACTGTGTTTCTTCAAGAGATCATTCATCAGCATCACCAATGATGTTCTATGTCCTGGCCTGACCATTGATTTTAGTTGGATTTGTGGGCACCCAGCACTTTTGGAAGTTTTACAGATTTAGGAGCTTTTCTTTAGGCGTCAGGTAGCCTCTGGTAATAAAATGGTTAAAGGTTTTTTTTCTTTTTCTTTTTTTCTTCCCTTTCCCAGCGTTAAGCCAGCAAGCTGAGAGGAAAGGCACAGCTAAGGAAGAGAGCAGCTCCAAGCTCCCAAGGAAATCCAGCAATAAGCAGAATGAGCCAGCCCTAATACACAGCCCACATATAGGTAGGTGCAATATAGAGTATTTGATCATAAGGGGTAACAGGCCTTGTCTATATATAAAAGTGCACTGGTTTAACTAAAGGTGTGATTTTGAAACTGATTTAGTTAACCCAATGTAAAACCCTGTGGGGACACTCAGTACACAAAGTAGGTATTCACCCACGAAAGCTTATGCGCCAATACATCTGTTAGTCTATAAGGTGCCACAGGACTCTTTGTTGCTCAGTACATTTGTGATCACTTACACCTTGACAATCACTAATTTTTAATTCAGTGATCAATTAATCTTGATTGGTTAGAAAAAGCTATAATCTAGAATTACCTTGAGTTGATAATAGGTCGACAGTAGTGATGTTATGGTGGGGGTCTATTTTAGACCACCAAATCAGGAAGAGGATGTGGATGAGTCATTCTACAAGCAGGTAACAAGATTAGTAAACACACATGAGCTAGTATTAATGGGAGATTTTAACTTCCGTGATATCTGTTGGAAGACAATTACAGCAAAACATATGTCCTGCAAATTCTTAGCATGTGTAGGGGACAACTTTCTGATTGAGGAAACAACTAGAGAGTCATCCATTTTGGATCTGGTTTAGACCAACAGGAATGAATTAGTTGAGAACATGAAGGTAGTCAGGAACTTGGGAGGAAGTGACCATGATCTGATAAAATTCAAGCTCCTATGGAAAGGAGAACATGAGAACAGCAAAACTAGGACACCAAACTTCAGAAAAGCAGATTTCAACTGAGTCAGAGAAATAATAGGCAAGATCCCATGGAAAGACCAGTTAGGAAGAAAAGGAGTTGAAGGGGGCTGGCAGTTCCTAAAAGATGTAATCGTGGAGGCTCAACATCAAACTATCCTGATGCAGAAGAAAGATAAGAAGAGCCACAGAAGGTCAATGTGGCTGCACAATGAGATTTTTAGCTATATAAAAACGAAGGCTGTCAAGTGATTAAAAAAATTAATCGTGTGATCAATTGCACTATTAATAATAGAATACCATTTATTTAAATACTTTTGGCTGTTTTCTACATTTTCAAATATATTGATTTCAATTACAACAGAGAATATAAAGTGTACAGTGCTCACTTTATATTTATTTTTGATTACAAGTATTTGCACTATAAAAAAACCAAAAGAAATTGTATTTTTAAATTCACCTAATACAAGTACTGTGGTGCAATCTCTTTATCATGGAAGTTGAACTTACAAATGTAGAATTATGTGGAAAAAAAACTGCATTCAAAAATAAAACAATGTAAAACTTTAGAGCCTGCAAGTGCACTCAGTCCTACTTCTTGTTCAGTCAATTGCTCAGACAAACAAGTTTGTTTACATTTGCAGGAGATAATGCTACCCACTTCTTGTTTACAATGTCACCTGAAAGTGAGAACAGGCGTTCTCATGGCACTGTTTTAGACGGCTTGGCAAGATATGTGCCAAATGTGCTAAAGATTCATATGTCCTTTCATGCTTCAGCCACCATACCCGGGAACGTGTCCATGCTGATAACGTGTTCTGCTCAATAACCAGCCAAAGTAATGCAGACCGACGCATGTTCATTTTCATTATCTTAGTCAGATGCGATCAGCAGAAAGTTTATTTTCTTTTTTAGTAGTTCAGGTTCTATAGTTTCTGCATCAGAGTGTTGCTCCTTTAAGACTTCCGAAAGCATGCTCCACATCTCGTGGCGCTCAGATTTTGAAAGGCACTTCAGATTCTTAAATCTTGGATCGAGTGCTGTAGCTAACTTTAGAAGTCTCACATTGGTATCCTCTTTGCATTTTGTCAAATCTGCAGTGAAAATGTTCTTAAAATGAATAACGTGCTGGGTCATCATCCAAGGCTGCTATAACATGAAATATATGGCAGAATGTGTGTAAACCAATGCAGGGGACATACAATTCTCCCCCAAGGAGTTCAGTTACAAATTTAATTAACGTATTATTTTTTTTAACTAGCATCATCAGCATGGAAGCATGTCCTTTGGAATGGTGGCCGAAGCATGAAGGGGCATACAATTGTTTAGCATATTTGGCATGTAAATACCTTGTAATACCAGCTACAAAAGTGCAAATGCCTGTTCGCACTTTCTGGTGACATTGTAAATAAGAAGAGGGCAGCATTATTGTGACTATCTGGATCACAGAAACCCTCTTGGGAGCTGCCACCCGATGTGCCAAGACTACTTCTACCCCTGCTTTCCCTGCCAGCTTGGAACCCCCGCACCTTTTCTTGCTGAGCCAGACACTCCCGTTTGCTCCAACAAAGAACCAGGGTCTGAATTACTTGCCCCAAAGCTGCAGGCTTACCTGAAAGCAGCTAACAAAAGTGTTCCTGTCTTTAACACTCAGATGCCCAACTCCCAATGGGGTCGAGACCCAAATAAGTCCGTTTCACCCTATATAAAGCTTATACAGGGTAAACTCATAAATTGTTCACCCTCTATAACACTGATAGAGAGATATGCACAGTTGTTTGCTCCCCCAGGTATTAATACATACTCTGAGTTAATTAATAAGTAAAAAGTGATTTTATTAAATACAGAAAGTAGGATCTAAGTGGTTCCAAGTAGTAACAGACAGAATAAAGTAAGTCACCAAGCAAAATAAAATAAAATGCGCAAATCTATGTATAATCAATCTGAATACAGATAAGATCATCACCAGTTCCAGAATGCTCCCTTTTACAGACTAATCTCCTTTTAGCCTGGGTCCAGCAATCACTCACACCCCTTGCACACTGTCCTTTGTTCCAGTTTCCTTCAAGTATCATGGGAGGTGGAGAGGCTCTCTCTTTAGCCAGCTAAGACCAAAATGGAGGGGTCTCCCATGGGCTTAAATAGACTTTCCCCTGTGGGTGGAGACCCCTCCTCTCTCCTATGCAAAGTCCAGCTCCAAGATGGAGTTCTGGAGTCACCTGGGCAAGTCGCATGTCCATGCATGACTCACAGTTTCTTACCAGGTAGCAGCCATGGGTCACATGCTACCTTGAACGTCCTCAAGTAGACTTTTTATGTGGATTGGAGCATTCCAAGATTCATTGTCCTTTAAGTGTTTCTTGATTAGGTACTTAATTTCAACATTCCTTTCTCCAGGAACTGACCAAATACGCTACTAAGGTTATTTAGCAATCAAGCCAGTACACAGCCGATATTCATAACTTCGAATACAAAAATGATACATGCATGCAGATAGGATTAATAGATTCAGTAGATCATAACCATATAGATATGTTACATAGCATATGTAGCATAGATAGATTCAGTAGATCATATTCCAGTAATGTCATATTCCCATAAAGCATTATGGGGTACAGCGTCACAATTATCTCCTGTAAATGTAAACATGTTTGTCTTAGTGATTGGCTTAACAAGAAGTAGGACTGAGAGGACTTGTGGGCTCTGAAGTTTTACATTGTTTTGTTTTTGAGTGCAGTTATGTAACAAAAAAAATCTACATTTGTAAATTGCACTTTTATGACAGAGATTGCACTACAGTGCTTGTATGGGGTGAATTGAAAAATACTAATTCTTTTGTTTATCATTTTACAGTGCAAATATTTGTAATAAAAATAATATACACTTTGATTTCAATTAAAAAACAGAATACAATATATATGAAAATTTAGAGAAACATCCAAAATATTTAATAAATTTCAATTGGTATTCTATTGTTTAATAGTGCAATTAAAACTGTAATTATTTTTTTTAATTAATCACGTGAGTTAACTGCAATTAATCGACAGCCTTAATAAAAACCAAAAGGGATACATCCAGGAAATGGAAGTAGGGGCATGTCACCAAGGAGGAAACATAGGAATAGTGAGAGAATGTAGGGTCAAAATTGGGAAAGCCAAGGAAAGAATGAGTTACAGCTGGCAAGGACAAAAAAGAAAGATGAGGGATTGTGCAGGTCTGCTGCTCAATGGAGAAGATGAACTGGTAATGGAAGATGATAGGAAGACAGAGCTGCTCAATAGTTACTTTGCTTCAGTTTTCTCACAAAAAACAACTTGTGACCAGATCACTAGCAAATTTACCATAGACAATCAAGGGGGAAGGATGCATATCAGGATACGTAAATAATACCTCAGAGATCTGACCAGTTTGAATGAATTCAAATCAGCAGGGCCAGATGCTATTCACCCGAGGGTACTGAAGGAATTAGTTGAAGAAATCTCGGAGCCACTGACAATAATATATACAAACTCATGGATAATAGGAGAGAGCCCCTCTCCAGTCTTCCAGGACAACGTAGTGCCCATCTTTAAAAAGGAGAAGCTGGGAATTATAGACCAGTGAGCCTGACTTTGATACCTGGGAAGCTATTAGAGGAATGAATAATATACCTGGACTTCAGCAAGGTTTTTGACACAGTCCCACATGACATTCTGATAGGTAAGCTGGAGAAATGCGGGCTCGACACAACTACCGTGAAGTGGGTACATAATTGGTTAAGCAACCGCAAACAGAGGATATTAATGGAACGATGTCAGATTGAAGGAAGGTCTCAAGTGGGGTTCCACAGGGATCTGTTTTGGGTCCAGTGTTGTTTAACATCTTTATTAATGACCTGGATGTAGGAATAGAGAGCATACTAGTGACATCTAATTTGCAGATGACACAAAGCTGGGGGAGGGGTTGCCAACACTTTTGGAGGAGAGAGCTAAAATTCAGAGGAGTCTTGATAATAGGAGAACTGGGCTTTAGGCAACGAAGACAAATGTAAGGTGCTACACTTAGAAAAGAAAAAGCAAATGCACAAATTCAGAATGGGGGATAACTGACTTGGCAGCAGCACTGCTGAGAAGGATCTGGGAGTTCTGGTGGATCACAACCTCAAAATGAGTCAGCAATGCGATGCTATTGCAAAAAAAGCAAATGCTATTTTAGGTTGCGTGAACAGAGGTATAGCATGCAAGTCAAGGGAGGTGATAGTACTGCTCTACTTGGCTCTGGTTAGACCTCAGTTGGAGTACTGTGACCAATTTTCGT